CTACTAGGCTCACTAGCCTAGCTCACAATCACACTCAATCTTAGCCTTCGATATCCTTATCTACGGCTAACACTGACGGCCGCTCTCAACCGCCTAATCTCCAAACCACCTAACGCTTTACCCTTCCAACCGCCGTACACGCACGCCGGCGCTCAGTAGTTCAGTCCTAACTCGGGCCGGACCCTAATCACAGTAGTTTGGCTAACTATAATCACCGAATTCTAACAGGCGGCTGCCCTCGGGGTGGTGTGCTACTTGGCGGGGACGGCGGAAGCCGGAATAACCTTCGGGGGAAGCGGCGAGGTCCTTGAGGCGTTTTGCAACGCCGATTATGCGGGGGACGTCGACACAAACAAAACGCTCTACGACGGGGTACGTCTCCTTGATGTATGTACCGAGGAGTGGTGAGTTGGTCGAGGCCATCTTCAACCGACAAGTGGCGGCCTTGACAGTAGAGGCGGAGTATATGAGCGCGGAGAACGTTGTTGAGGAGGCGTTGTGGTTTCGGAAACTCGGGGGAGGCTTGGGGTTGGACCTCGGAACGGCCCTAATTTGTTGCGATAACCATTGGGGGCAATACGGCTCCTCAAGCATCCGATCGCTTCGCAACAATCGAAGCACATCGGCCTCATCACTTTGCGCGGGAGCGGGTGGCGCGAAAAGAGGGCGATTTCGCGTATTGCAAGACGGAGGACACAAAGGCGGACATCTTGACCAAGGCTTTGTCACCCGGACTTTTCTTGAAGTGCAAGAAGGAGACATGAATTGCATAGGATACTTAGTGCGTGGGGGAGTGTTAGATTTGGGCGGTACTAGCCTTGAGTACGCCCTAATTTCCTATAATACATCGTCTAAAGAATCGTGAGTTTGATGCATAAGGTCGGCCGTACGATTTTGAGCTTGCATGATTGAATATCCACCGTAGGATGTGCGAAAAGTAAGCCGTAGAATTGAGTCCATTGTGCATGGGTTCTTCGGTGATGTGTATGGGTTCATTGGTGTAGCCGTTCGATTGGACATTTGTAGGCAACGTCGAATAGGGACCGTCGATTGTCGATTGGAACACCTAGGGTAACAGCTAGGCTATAAGACTTGACTCACATGTTAAAGAATTAACCCCACGAACTCCTAGTAGTTGTGCACTTGAAAGGCGCTTGCTTTCAACATGGTACTATTAAATCGAGTCGACTCACATCTAACGATCCACAATCCAAGTCAACACGCAATCCGACGGTCGATACTCAACGACGTAAACTTCTAATTGTACGGTCGATACTACACGACACAATCCACAATTTACGGCTAGTATTATACGACACAATTAACGATCCTACGGTTCAAATCTGTCGGGCCTAACTAAACAATTTGGCCGTTAATCAATTCCATTTCTCAGCAGGTATGGAGGGCCGAATTTAGAGCCCCTTTTAAGTACAATGGGTTGCTATTGAGCAACCGGAATCGGTGGAAGGAAGAAAAGCATCGAATCAAGCAAAGGCTTTGATGATCCTTCACACTCAAGATGCGTATGTAAAGTTGTGCATTGGTGAATCCACGGCTGCCAAAGCTTGGAAGAAGCTTAAGAAGAACATTTGAAAGGACAAGCAACGCAAGGGTTGTCCAACTTAGAAATAAGTTGACAAGCTTGAGATTGACCCGGGAAAACAGCATTGCGGAATACGTAGGTGACTTTCGCAAGATTAAGGTGGACTTGGAGACCGCGGGTCAAACCGTTTCCGAGACAGAGGTGGCAATCCATGCTTTGAATGGTTTGCCAAAGGAGTATCTAGCTCTTGTTGAGTATCTAGAGTTGAATGAAGAGGAATTGACGTTGGACACTATTCAGCCAAAGCTCATGCAAAAGCAGCAAAAGATATAGTTGAAGACGGAGCTAGGAGCTCTGGAGGAGAAGGAGGAGGAGCGTTTGGGAAAGGCCTTTGTTGCCAAGCGGGAACGGTATGAAACCGTTATCAAGGGGTCGAGCACCGGAGGGGTAAGAAGTGTAACTGGTCCCGAAACGAGGACTTGCTATGCTTGCGGAGAGAAGGCCACGTTTGGGCCCATTGCCGGAAGCGGAATGCGGACTGCTTCAATTGTTTGAAGAGGGGCCCCATAAGCTCGGTGTGTAGGAAGCCAATGTGTGGCGCAAAGAGCGGCTGTGAGGACCGCCCGGATCCGATGGAGATTGCCGGTACGGCGTTTACGGCGTGGCGCAAAGTGGGGCGGGCGCTTGTTGATGAGATGGGGATGAGATTCAGAAGCATAGGCGCATGGATTTCAATACTGAAAGCTTAGAAACGCAAAATTGGAGATTGGCGCTGGAAACGTCGACGGTTGTTCGACGATATATTGAAGGTAGGGTTTCGACGTTAATCAGATAATAACCATAATTCGGTGATTATGGTCAACCGATTTATTGTGGTTAGGGTTCGGCCCAAGTTAGGGTTTGAACTAGTGACCGCCGTCGTGCGTGCACAGCGGTTAGGCGGTTATACATTGGGCTGAGGTTAGGCGGTTTAGAGGACCGTCGATGTGAGCCGTAGATGAGGATATCGAAGGCTAAGATTAAGTGTGAGTGTGACCTAGGCTAGTGAGCCTAGTAGTGTGTGACCTAGGCTAGAGAGCCTAGTAGGCTGGTGAGCCTAGTGGAAGGAGAGATCCGTGAGACAATAGTGAGGAACACTATTGTAATATACCAT